AGGCTTTACGAGATGACCTCCAGCTGTGCGGATTTCAGGGCCTTTCCAAGCTGTCCTAACATTCTTCAACTTCGCGGCGAACGACCCACTGATGACAGAATAGTCAGCTCCAGTATCGACGAGAGCAGTTACACTGTGGCCGTCGATAAGAACGTCGAGGTCGCTAGTTCGCCGTCTCGCATTGCAGTTAGGGCGTGGCGTCGGGTCACGGCTGCGTCGGCTTGTTACGCTGCTTCCATGTTGCGTCGTCAGGCCACCTTCGGTAAGTGAGCTTTCGCCGTCAGGGCTTTGCTTGTTTGGCGTTGTGTTCAGAAAGCTCCGTCGCGGCGTCGTCGTCGTCGGAGGATCTTCGGTAGTTCGTCGCACAGCAACCGCACCTCCACCGGTTGCTGCCCTTAGTTACCCGGATACGGGCTTGGAGACCGGCCCCGCGTTGGGCCGGAGTACTGCCGGGGGTGCGGTGACATGCGGCGGCTGGGCGACGGCGAACGGGAAGGACTTCGTGGTGTCCATTGAGTTTCTGTCAGGTAGTCGGCGATGTCACGTGGCCGTTCCCCTGGCTGCGGACGTGGTGCATCGACGGCGAAGCCACGCAGTCCCATCTGTCGGTACTGGCAACGGCGGTAAGTGTGCCCGGCCTCGCCGCAGTGGTAGCACAGTGGGCGGTGGTCAGGGGTGCGCCAGACGTCGGTTTTCCTCGGCGCACTGCGCTGGCCCGCCGGCGAACGGTAGGTCGTCGGTGGGGTGGTGGCGGCGGTGGTGTCTGGCGACGGAAGTGCGACGGGGCGGCGTTTCGGCGTGGACGCGGAGGAGCGTTGTGGCGCACTGCAGCGGCGTAGCTCATAGTTTCTGGCTCAGGCAGTGGTGTTTGGGGAATTCGAAGCGATTGCCGAACTTTTCTCGCACAATGTCGGCGATCGAATCCACTTGAGGTTGCGCCGAAGGCAACAGTTTGCGCAGCTCTTCCCGCACGATCACTCAGATCGTTTCACGCAGGTTGTCGGAGTCACTGGCTTGAGCAGCAGCGCATTCTGGAGTCAGGCGACGATTATACTGTCTGGTGCGCATGTCCAGGGTTTTTTCGATGGTGGTCGCTTCGGCTATAAATTCTTGGACGCTTTTCGGTGGGTTTCTCATCAGTCCCGCAAAGAGCTCCTGTTTGACCCCTCGCATGAGGAAACGAACTTTTTTCTCCTGAGGCATGTCTGGGTCAGCGTGACGGAATAGTCGGGTCATTTCTTCTGTGAAAATGGCGACATTTTCATTTGGTAGCTGAACCCGGGTCTCTAATAAAGCAGCGGCCCTCTCTTTGCGAGCGACGCTCGCGAACGTTTGCAGGAATGCGCCGCAGAAAACATCCCACGTTCGGAACGTGGACTCCCGATTTTCGAGCCAGGTCCTTCCGGTGTCTTCCAAATAGAAGAACACACGACGCAGCTTTTCGTCATGGTCCCAGTGGTTGAGGGCGGCCACACGGTCGTATGTTTCTAGCCAGGACTCCGGGTCTTCGAACGATTACCCATGGAAAATTGGTGGTTCCCTGGGTTCATGCATCACCATCGTGGGTTGGGACGCTGCGGTTGTCATTGTCGCTGCAGTCGCGGTCATGGCCTTGGTCTTCCGCGCCTTGTCTTGCAGAAGCCCGTACTCCGGTGGTAGCCCTTGCTGTCGGCGGCTTGTTCGCTGCTCCTGGCTGGCGTCGGTATTTTCTCCGCTACGTGGGCTGGGTTCACGGCTTGACGGGGGTGTCCGGTACATGAACGAAGCAGCACCTCCACCAGATGTCACGGGGTTGTGACGTGGCCGAAGACAGGAGACTTCGTGTTGGGATTTAACTGTTTATTTGGGCGAACCTGTGCCCGGTAAAATGAAAGTCCAATTACAGCAGCAGTCTCGCACAGATAGCAGTCTCGGACTGATAGCGGCGAACAGAGCGTCGGCCTTCGATCAACAACTACTGACAAGTGGCGAAGCGCGTCGGCATTTATACTCTTGCCATCGAATGTTCTAGCGTTATTGCTGGCGGTGGCGTAGGTTCCAGAACAATCTGTACCGTTCGCACAGTGGGCGTGATCTTATCGAAATGATCTACTACAGTCCGGAACCTTCTGGAAAACTGCATGCGCGGTTTGCGCTGAGAATCGTGTGGTGTTTTGGGACGATAACGAAAACTTGGGAAATGGAACGTGGCAATATGATGATTTTGAGACATTAAACCCCACATATTATTAGATAATCTATTACTTCCGATTGAAATAGCCACTTCTCGCTTTTACAGCTGGTTGACGTGCGCAGAAGTAAATATTGACTGCAATGCTCGATAAGTACACACGTATTTGACTGATTAAGGTGTAATTTCTTACACAGGGGAGGTTAAGCTATATTGCAGCGGCTATGTCCGACTCTGCTGATTTGCATCTGTAAACCGAGAGCTGGAGCTACATAGCCGATTCCTAAAAACAAAATTACATGCGCATGAAGAAGTCCCTTCGTGTTACTTTATGTGCGCGCACCTAACAGCAAGGCTGTGCTTCCACGCATGAGTCAGTGATGTGCCGACGAGTGCGCCCGGCAGCTCTTGGCGGTGGCCCGTTTGGCTGCGCCACAGGATGAAAGCGCGTCGCATCTATGTTCGTCGCTTCTTGTGTGGACACCGCGGTCAAAGAAAAAAAAATAGTTCATTCATGGTAATCGATGACAAGGCTCTATACGGCATACTCCTTCCTACTCCTCGGCATAGGATATTAATAAACGTGGAAGCATCGATGGGTGTATGACGGACTCAGCCGGTACGCTAGGGCTACATTCATTGAGAGTTGAACTCGTACGGGTCACATTTAGCTGGACCGATCTCAGCGCAGGTGGCTCGCGAAGGTTGAAGTTCGAGCATTCCGCAAGCCTCTCATTGTTGCGCCCCATCGCGGTAGGTTTAGTGGCTAAGGTACATGGCTGCTGACCCGCAGGTCGCGGGATCGAATCCTGGCTGCGGCGGCTGCATTTCCAATGGAGGCGCAATTGTTGAAGGCCCGCGTGCTCAGATTTGGGTGCAGGTTAAAAACCCCAGGTGGTCAAAATTTCCGGAGCCCTTCACTACGGCGTCTCTCACAATCAAATGATGGTTTTGGGACGTTAAACCCTACATATCAATCAATCGTTTCTTTGTTGCAATGAAGGGTAAACAAGGTAAGCAAACCTATAAAGATTGACGGAGATACATCTGAGTGGTTTTGCCGACCGGCATTGTTTTTCTGTTGTCCTATAGTAGGCACCACGGCATCGTAAGTCAGATCAGACGACGGATCGTAACTTTCGTAGATAATTTCTCGACCAGCACTATTAAAAGACAATCCCGACGGTGTTTGTAAGCGCCTACATCTACAACTTTCGCGCTTGGGCATATTTTGCTTCACCGCAAGAAGCCGATATGACAGAATGCCAGCTGATAATTAAAATTTAGTAACACACGACAATAAATGTCGTGTAGTTTTGAAATAAATGGTCGACGTGCCTACAGAGTAAATAACTATCACTAGATACCTACACATGCTAGATGCATATTTGCTCGTCAAAACGCTTAATAAGTAAGGATGCTGCTCCTCCCGCACTAGAAGGTGGCTGGACATCATGAGTATAAATACCGGGGGCTGTATAATGGTCCTTAGCGCGAGAGGTATGTGTTCAGTATTGCTGGTTGCTATGTTGCGTGAGACTATAATGTGTGTGCCGATGCCCGTCTGTATCTGTGATGTAAGCTTGAAGCAATCTATACACTTCACTGTTTTTAGAAAATGCTCAACCTATTTTTTTAAACGATAGTCATAGCGCAGCAAAACTATTCTACTGTCGGGGGGAATTGATGCACACTAGTCCGCCCAGACTGTAAAACTCCGTGAGAGAGTAATGCAACTATGCAGAGGGTTTATGAACTCTATTTAGGAAGCGTGACTGTCCTCTGGCAAAACAGCTTGTTTTACTCTCGTTCAGCCAGAGTACCAGCACTCTGTCAAAAGAGTGTGCGTACTCTGTGCAACAGAGGGTTCCCAGCACTTTTGAAAAGAGAGTGAAACTTGGGACAAGCCTTTACTTTCGCAAAGAGAGTTACCAGTACACTGCTGGGACTGTGAGTGTGTAAGTATCATTGCCAGCTCTTTCATTAAGAGCACGTGCTCACGCCACAGAGATGTCTTCTTCCTCGAATCGGCTTGTTGCTCCTTGGTGCTGATGTTAACGCAAGTTTCCTTTTATTTTGTCTTCGAACGCTTAGCCGATGACCTTAAAGCATGCAAAACCACAGAAAGTATAGCAAGCTATAGCATATTGATTGCATGCTCGTGCAGAAGGGAAGTCTTTTTCTTTTTGTTCTTCGGCGCTATCGGATGATATTAAGGACATGTGTTAGTACTATGGCTAGAGGTGCACGTCAACACAAACGACATATAAAAATTTAGCGAGGAAGCGAGAGATAAATCTAACATAGAAATAAATAAATGTAAATTTAAAGCAACACACAAATTCTCAAAAAGACAAAACATGATGAAGAATGAAGGAGAAGTCGAAGAGAAAGCAAGAAGGCGGCTCACTGCAGACATCATTCAGGCTTAGCATAAATAAGGCGATGCTGGCCTCATTTGTTTGGTGATGTGTTTCCGCTGTAGCCAGCACACATAACTACTAATGCGATACTATAGATAGCGTTAAGGGATGGTGACCGCAGTTTTTTTACTTATTGCTGGTTGCCCGGATGATACCGTGTGAATGCGTGAGCAGCCTCGCTTGACTTCCTGCTAGTCTAATTTGAGATCCCGGATGGTCTGATTTGAGTGCCAAGATAACAGTGCTGACATTCAGGTCATATAAAGGGCCCCAACAAGAATCGCAAAAATCAATTTATGCTCAGCAAACAAAAATACTAAATGCAGAAGGAAGGACACTTCAAGTTCTTGTTCTCACTATTCACTCAAAACAGTGGTGTGCGAAGATATCAGAAACGAGGGACTCACTCAATTGCCAGCCTGTAGTGTTTGATCGCCAAGTCCGAGTTGCCGATGTCCTTCTGCAGGTTGGCGTAATTATAATGCATCTTTGCGTTTTCCGGAAGGTCCCTAATGCCCGATCTGGAATCAACAATATTTTTTGTTCATAATACATACATATAATAAACAGAAGTGACCAAAAAGTAACAGTCAGGTTTTCGGTGTTTGGAAATCATAAAATGCCAAATCAACCTGAACTAATCACTCAAGCAAAATACGATCTGGACTCACTCGAAAAGGGCCTCTCTGGAGGCCCAGATGCCATTCCGATTCCAGGTGCGTATAGCAAAGAGCAGCACTAAAACGAAGCAGAGGCTTGTGGTGCACCACTGGAGGACCCGAGAGCACCGCATTTGAAGGCGGAACAATCCTTCCGCCACCAATAGAGTAACGCCTATGCTGTAATGAGAAATATTCAAGTGCAGCTAAATTACCAGCATCTACTGATTGATTGGTATGTTAAAAAACTCGAAACTACGCACAAAATAAACCCAAAGCAAAATTAACGTTTCTACCATGCTTATTTGGATCTCACACCGTGAATACAGGGTCATATTTAGGTGCAATAAAATACAGCTGATTGCTTAACAGAGAGGCGTAGAACTGAAAAATTGAACAAAACATATCTGTCTGTTTGAAGAAATTCACGAATCAAAAGAAGAAATTTGATCACAATGTTAAACTGAGTGATGTAAAGGCCACTTTGTTGCCTATGTAAAAAAAAGCGAATAGCAGAATGGAAGGCAAAAATAGCTTTCCGCGTTTGTCAGGTTGCTGTCCAAATGAGCGACAGCATTAGGGATTTTAATAAGAAATGTTAAGAACGAAATGGTGCACGCGCTGGGACGAACAAGAGGGAAAATAGTTGTTAAAATATCTTTGCTGTGAAATAACAAACCTATGTTAAATGTATTATAAACGTACAGACACACGCACAAGTAAACTCATAGCATAACATTAGCTCCTTTCACTGGTGATCTGAACATCACATTGTTCGATAGAGTGAAAAGCCATGCAGGGAACGCTGCTAAAGAATCTTGGTACAAGAGAGAGAGAGAGAGATAAAGATGCAAGGAAAGGCAGGGAGGTTAACCAGACGCACATCCGGTTTGCTACCCTGCACTGGGGAAGGGATAAAGGGGAGAAAAGAGGTTGCAAAAAGATGAGAAGGTACACACAATCACGAGCACAATCGGGGAGCACACACAGTCTACAGGCGGTCGCTCAGGTTTGTTGACTTAAGGTAAAGTAGCAGTGCTTTAGTTGCTTTCTGCGCAACTGAGGCAGATGCCCAAGGTCCTAGTATCTTCTGCACACAAAATGGTCCGCGGTCAAGTCGATTCAAAACCATCCGTAGCTGGCATCGCTGTGTGTCGTAGCAAGCGCAGCTGCACAGGACGTGTTCGATGGTCTCTTCAGCTCCGCAGTAGTCGCATGTAGGAGTGTCTGCCTTACCAATGCGAAAGGAGTACACCTTTGTAAATGCAACACCCAACCAAAGGCGGCATAACAATGTCGTATCGGAGCGGGAAAGTTGTGATGGTAGCTTTAGCTTGAGGGAAGGATCCAGGTCATAAAATTGACACCTTTGGAAGCTGGTAGACGACCAGAACGTGCGTGTGAGATCTCGAGCCAGCAGGTAAAGTTGTCTTGCTGCATCATTCCTTGATAGAGGAATCGGAACTACACTGGTTTATTCATGGGCTGAGTGGGCTGCATCATCGGCTAATTGATTTCCGGTAATACCGATATGTCCAGGCAGCCATTGATATATAATATCATGCCCTCGTGCTAGAGCTTCATGATGGCAATGTCTTATTTCTTGTACCAGTTGGCCATGACTCCTCCTACGCATGGCAGACTGCAAACTCTGAAGCGCTGCCTTCGAATCACAGAATATGACCCATTTTCCTGGACGTTCTTGAACGAGATATTGTAAAGCAGCCCTTATAGCAGCAAGCTCTGATGCCGTACATGTAGTCATATGCGACAACTTAAACTTGATTGCCATTTCTGCAGCCGGAATTACAGCGCCACCTGATGAGCTGCTGGATGAGACGGTCCCATCAGTGTATATCTGCGTTCGGTCTAAGTACAACTCATGTAATAATAGCAGTGTTGCTTGCTTCAATGCTACTCTGGAGTGACTGCTTTTCTTTTTGATTCCCGGAATTTCTAGACGTACTTGCGGCTGGTCGAGGCACCACAAAGGACATGCCGTTCTCGCAGCTGCGTATATCCTGATGGAATGCTGTTTAGGTGCTTGGCTATGACGTCTGAAAACGTAGCACGTGGTCTTCCGGAAGGTAGAAGGGCCAAGTGGCGGTCGGGGACACGTCTAGCATGTCGAATGTGTGCTCTGAGGCAATCCACAACTATATGTCCTGACCGGATGGTCTTTGGAAAGCATGATTGTGGCATAAGTAGAAGCGCATCAGGGCAGTCCTAGGCAGATACGCAGTGCCTGACCCTGCAAACTCTTCAATGAATGAGTATTCGATTTGCAAGTGTTACTCAGTACCGGCAAGCTGTAGCGCAATAGACCCAGAAATAGGGCCCTGTACAGCTGTAGCATGGAGGCCACAGAAGTTCCCCATGCTTTACCGCACAAGAATTTCATGATATGCACAATAGATAGCACTTTCTTCTTCAAGTACGCACAATGTGGGCTCCACGAAAGACTTCTGTCGATTATGATGCGCAGGAAACGGTGCGTCCGTGCATATTTGACACTCTGCCCATTGATGTAAACAGGGTATGGCGTCATTGGTTTGCGTGTAAACGCCATCAACGCGCACTTCACAGTTAATATATTGTCACCAATCTTGTCTCACTCAAGGAAACCTTCCGCAGAACTGCTCGTCAAGCTAGGACAAAAAGAAAAACTGCTCCAACCCAACCTCTTCGTCCTCTTCCACACGAAAACCACGCGAATTCATGCGGCATTAGTCCCCCCTTTTAAAAAGCATCGACTCGATGCTTCTAAATAAAAAGAAGAAGAAAAAAAAAAACCCATAATTAGAACACGCGTTGACGCAGAGAATGACAAAGTGAGTGCCAGGGAAAACAAAGAGGGCGCACAAGCACTTGGACCATGCGCGAACACAACAGCACCAGTGGAAGAGTCAAGAAAAAAAAAACACCACATGAGATCACTGTCACGTTTGCGAAGTAACTCGCAAGCACAGAGACTATTGTGTGTAGTACGGCTTGAGTCGTACGACATGCACAGTTTCGGGCCGATGTTGTCGACGTGACGACACTGTGCCGTCCGGAAGTACTTCGTATGTAAGGTCACTCACACGTCGGATAACCTTGTATGGTCCGAAATAACGGCTCAGAAGCTTTTCAGACAAGCCTGGTCGTCGGACAGGAGTCCACACCCACACTCGTTCACCCGGGTGGTATGCGACGTTTCGACGGCGAAGGTTGTAACGTCGTGCATCTGCGTCTTGTTGGTGACCGATGTTCACGCGAGCCAGTTGACGAGCCTCTTCGGCGTACTGCGTGTATTGCTCGGCTTCTGGAGAAAGAGCATCGCTATTATCGTACGGCAGCATAGCGTCAAGCATCGTTTGTACGTTGCGTCCATAAACAAGGTGGAAAGGTGAAAATCGGGTTGTTTCCTGCATTGCCGTATTGTATGCGAACGTGACGTATGGGAGGATATCGTCCCAGGTTTTGTGCTGCACGTCCACGTACATTGACAGCATGTCCGCTATGGTCTTGTTGAGCCTTTCCGTCAGTCCATTACTTTGTGGGTGGTAAGCCGTTGTTTTTCGGTGACTCGTGCAGCTCAGTCTGAAAATGTCCTCTAGCATTTGTGCCGTAAATGATGTTCCTCTATCCGTAATCACACATGACGGCGCGCCGTGCCGGAGGACGATGTGCTGCACGAAGAACTTCGCCACTTCAGACGCCGTGCCGCGGGGTAATGCCTTTGTCTCAGCATACCGGGTCAAGTAATCGGTTGCCACTATAATCCATTTGTTACCAGTGGCCGACAAAGGGAAGGGTCCTAGAAGGTCCATTCCCACGAGGTCGAAAGGTGTCCGTGGTGGTGTAATAGGGTGGAGAAGGCCCGCAGGTTTCACGGGTGGCGTCTTGCGACGCTGGCACTCGCGGCAGCCTTGCACGTAGCGGTGTACACTGGTCGAAAGTCGTGGCCAATAGTACTGCTGGCGCACTCTGGCGAGAGTCCGCGAGTAGCCCAAGTGTCCCGACGTGGGCTCGTCATGGCACGCGAGGAGGATGTCATCCCGCATGTCGGCTGGTACAACGAGGAGGAAGGCTTTGTTGCTACCTCGAGCATTTTTCTTGTAAAGAATGCCCCTCCTTAGACAAAAGGATGACAATTCGCGAGCGATGCGCCGAGGAGTGTGAGAATTTCGACCTTCTAAGGAATCAATAATAGGGCGCAATTCCTGATCGGCTCTCTGTCTAGACATAAAGTCAGAATCACTGAGGGCTCCGAGAAAACCATCAGCATATTCCGAGTCCATATCAGGATGTCCCACGGGTGCTCGAGAAAGTGCGTCGGCATCTTCGTGCTTGCGCCCAGACCTATACACAATCATGATGTCAAACTCTTGCAAGCGCAAACTCCACCGAGCGAGACGACCAGACGGGTCACGGAGATTGGCCAGCCAACACAGCGAATGGTGATCGGTCACCACCTTGAAGGGACGGCCGTAGAGGTAAGGTCGAAACTTTGCCGTTGCCCACACGACTGCGAGGCATTCCTTCTCTGAAGTGGAGTAGTTGGCCTCGGCTCGAGAGAGAGTACGACTGGCGTAAGCTATGACATGTTCTACGCCGTTGTGCCGTTGTACAAGGACAGCGCCAAGTCCGACGTTGCTTGCATCCGTGTGAACTTCGGTATCAGCGTCCTCATCAAAATGCGCAAGAACAGGTGCCTCTTGCATTCGCTGCCGTAACTCTGTGAAAGCTGCTTCTTGCTCTGTAGTCCAGGCAAACGGTACATCATCTCGGGTGAGTCGCGTGAGCGGTTCGGCTATCGTCGAGAAGTTGGTAATGAATCGGCGATAATAAGCACACAAGCCGAGAAAACGCCGTACCGCTTTTTTGTCTGACGGCACAGGAAAGGTGGCGACTGCTGCAGTTTTTTCTGGGTCAGGCCGCACTCCATCCGCACTCACAACATGTCCCAGAAATTTCAGCTCATCGTAGCCGAAATGGCACTTCTGGGGTTTTAGCGTGAGTTCGGCCGAACGAATAGCTTCCAGAACCATTCTTAGACGCTTCAGATGTTCTTCGAAACTCTCGGCAAAGATGACCACATCATCAAGGTATACAAGGCAGCTTTGCCACTTCAAGCCAGCGAGGACGGTATCCATCATTCGCTGGAATGTTGCGGGAGCC